TACAGAATCTTCACGGAGTCAAAATCGTATAATCTGTTCAAATCATCCTATTGAAATCAGCTAAAAGTGAAGGTTGAGATTTGCTATCAGGGTCACAGAAACGCGAGGAGGTATGAAATCGATATCCTTATATAGAATTGGCAAGTAATTCAAAATTGCAACATAAATACCTCTCGTCGCTTCTGTTGTCCTGGTACAGAATCTTCACGGAGTCAAAATCGTATAATCTGTTCAAATCATCCTATTGAAATCAGCTAAAAGTGAAGGTTGAGATTTGCTATCAGGGTCACAGAAACGCGAGGAGGTATGAAATCGATATCCTTATATAGAATTGGCACGTAATTCAAAATTGCAACATAAATACCTCTCGTCGCTTCTGTTGTCCTGGTACAGAATCTTCACGGAGTCAAAATCGTATAATCTGTTCAAATCATCCTTTTCAAATAATCTTAAGCTGGAGGTTGAGATTTGCCATCAGGATCACAGAAACGCGAGGAGGTATGAAATCGTTATCCTTATATAGAACTGGCACGTAATTCAAAATTGCTGCATAAATACCTCTCGCCGCTTCTGTTATCCTGGAACAGAATCTTCACGGAGTCAACATCGTATAATCTGTTCACATCATCCTTTTGAAATCCGTTAAAAGTGAAGGTTGAGATTTGCTATCAGGGTCACAGAAACGCGAGGAGGAATGAAATCGGTATCCTTATATAGAACTGGCACGTAATTCAAAATTGCTGCATAAATACCTCTCGCCGTTTCTGTTGTCCTGGTACAGAATCTTCACGGAGTCAAAATCGGAAATCTGTTCAAATCATCCTTTTGAAATAATCTTAAACTGGAGGTTGAGATTTGCTGTCAGGATCTTAGAAACGCGAGGAGGTATGAAATCGTTATCATTATATAGAACTGGCTCGTAACTCAAAATTGCTGCATAGATACCTCTCGCCGATTCTGTTATCCTGGTACATATTCTTCACGGAGTCAAAATCGTATAATCTGTTCAAATCATCCTTTTCAAATAATCTTAAGCTGGAGGTTGAGATTTGCCATCAGGATCTTAGAAACGCAAGGAGGTATGAAATCGGTATCCTTATATAGAACTGACACGTAATTCAAAATTGCTGCATAAATACCTCTCGCCGCTTCTGTTATCCTGGTACAGAATCTTCACGGAGTCAACATCGTATAATCTGTTCAAATCATCCTTTTGAAATAATCTAAAACTGGAGGTTGAGATTTGCTATCAGGGTCACAGTAAACCCGAGGAGGTATGAAATCGTTATCCTTATATAGAACTGGCACGTAATTCAAAATTGCTGCATAAATACCTCTCGCCGCTTCTGTTATCCTGGCACAGAATCTTCACGGAGTAAAAATCGTATAATCTGTTCAAATCATCATTTTCAAATAATCTTAAGCTGGAGGTTGAGATTTGCCATCAGGATCACAGAAACGCGAGGAGGTATGAAATCGTTATCCTTATATAGAACTGGCACGTAATTCAAAATTGCTGCATAAATACCTCTCGCCGCTTCTGTTATCCTGGTACAGAATCTTCACGGAGTCAAAATCGTATAATCTGTTCAAATCATCCTTTGGAAATCCGTTAAAAGTGAAGGCTGAGATTTGCTATCAGGCTCACAGAAACGCGAGGAGGTATGAAATCGGTATCCTTATATAGAACTGGCACGTAATTCAAAATTGCTGCATAAATACCTCTCGCCGCTTTTGTTATCCTGGTACATATTCTTCACGGAGTCAAAATCGTATAATCTGTTCAAATCATCCTTTTCAAATAATCTTAAGCTGGAGGTTGAGATTTGCTATCAGGGTCGCAGAAACGCGAGGAGGTATGAAATCGGTATCCTTATATAGAACTGGCACGTAATTCAAAATTGCTGCATAAATACCTCTCGCCGCTTCTGTTGTCCTGGTGCAGAATCTTTACGGAGTCAAAATCGTATAATCTGTTCAAATCATCCTTTTGAAACCCGTTAAAAGTGAAGGTTGAGATTTGCTATCAGGGTCACAGAAACGCGAGGAGGAATGAAATCGGTATCCTTATATAGAACTGGCACGTAATTCAAAATTGCTGCATAAATACCTCTCGCTGTTTCTGTTGTCCTGGTACAGAATCCTCACGGAGTCAAAATCGTATAATCGGTTCAAATCATCATTTTCAAGCTTAAGCTGGAGGTTGAGATTTGCCATCAGGATCACAGAAACGCGAGGAGGTATGAAATCGGTATCCTTATATAGAACTGGCACGCAATTCAAAACTGCTGCATAAATACCCCTCGCCGCTTCTGTTATCCTGGTACAGAATCTTCACGGATTCAAAATCGTATAATCTGTTCAAATCATCCTTTTGAAATCCGCTAAAATTGATGGTTGAGATTTGCTATCAGGGTCGCAGAAACGCGAGGAGGTATGAAATCATTATTATTATATAGAACTGGCACGTAATGCAAAATTGCTGCATAAATACCTCTCGCCGCTTCTGTTATCCTGGTACAGAATCTTCACGGAGTCAACATCGTATAATCTGTTCACATCATCCTTTTGAAATCCGTTAAAAGTGAAGGTTGAGATTTGCTATCAGGGTCACAGAAACGCGAGGAGGTATGAAATCGTTATCCTTATATAGAACTGGCACGTAATTCAAAATTGCTGCATAAATACCTCTCGCCGCTTCTGTTATCCTGGTACAGAATCTTCACGGAGTCAACATCGTATAATCTGTTCACATCATCCTTTTGAAATCCGTTAAAAGTGAAGGTTGAGATTTGCTATCAGGGTCACAGAAACGCGAGGAGGAATGAAATCAGTATCCTTATATAGAACTGGCACGTAATTCAAAATTGCTGCATAAATACCTCTCGCCGTTTCTGTTGTCCTGGTACAGAATCTTCACGGAGTCAAAATCGGAAATCTGTTCAAATCATCCTTTTGAAATAATCTTAAACTGGAGGTTGAGATTTGCTGTCAGGATCCTAGAAACGCGAGGAGGTATGAAATCGTTATCATTATATAGAACTGGCTCGTAACTCAAAATTGCTGCATAGATACCTCTCGCCGATTCTGTTATCCTGGTACATATTCTTCACGGAGTCAAAATCGTATAATCTGTTCAAATCATCGTTTTCAAATAATCTTAAGCTGGAGGTTGAGATTTGCCATCAGGATCTTAGAAACGCGAGGAGGTATGAAATCGGTATCCTTATATAGAACTGGCACGTAATTCAAAATTGCTGCATAAATACCTCTCGCCGCTTCTGTTATCCTGGTACAGAATCTTCACGGAGTCAACATCGTATAATCTGTTCAAATCATCCTTTTGAAATAATCTAAAACTGGAGGTTGAGATTTGCTATCAGGGTCCACAGTAAACCCGGGGAGGTATGAAAGCAGTATCCTTACATAGAATTGGCACGTAATTCAAAATTGCTGCATGAATACCTCTCGCCGCTTCTGTTGTCCTAGTACAGAATCTTCACGGAGTCAAAATCGTATAATCTGTTCAAATCATCCTTTTGAAATCCGCTAAAGTTGAATGTTGAGATTTGCTATCAGGGTTACAGAAACGCGAGGAGGTATGAAAGCGGTATCCTTATATAGAATTGGCACGTAATGCAAAATTGCTGCATAAATACCTCTCGCCGTTTCTGTTGTCCTGGTACAGAATCTTCACCGAGTCAAAATCGTATAATCTGTTCAAATGATCCTTTTGAAATCCGCTAAATGTGAAGGTTGAGATTTGCTATCAGGGTCACAGAAACGCGAGGAGGTATGAAAGCGGTATCCTTATATAGAATTGGCACGTAATTCAAAATTGCTGCATAAATACCTCTCGTCGCTTCTGTTGTCCTGGTACAGAATCTTCACGGAGTCAAAATCGTATAATCTGTTCAAATCATCCTATTGAAATCAGCTAAAAGTGAAGGTTGAGATTTGCTATCAGGGTCACAGAATCGCGAGGAGGTATGAAATCGATATCCTTATATAGAATTGGCACGTAATTCAAAATTGCAACATAAATACCTCTCGTCGCTTCTGTTGTCCTGGTACAGAATCTTCACGGAGTCAAAATCGTATAATCTGTTCAAATCATCCTATTGAAATCAGCTAAAAGTGAAGGTTGAGATTTGCTATCAGGGTCACAGAATCGCGAGGAGGTATGAAATCGATATCCTTATATAGAATTGGCACGTAATTCAAAATTGCTGCATAAATACCTCACAGAAATGCGAGGAGGTATGGATTCGATATCGTGCTCCTGATAGTTATATAATTCGCGGAAAGTCAAAATTATGCATGAATGCCTTTTGCAGGTTAAAATCTTTATGGGATCCTCTCAAATTCATCGAATGAGAATAAAACTCACAGTCCCGTTATATATATTTATTTTATCACAGTAAAAAATATACACAGTTTACATTTTTCCTATATAACAGAAGTTGATATGAAATACATGGCAAATTCACTCTTACTAAAATTCACATCATCCTGATATTGTCATCAAAATACAACGTAACAATGAGGAAGAAAATATTTGTATATCACAACAGGTAACAAAATCTAACACAAGCAACTTTGCCATGTCCACCTTTCATATTAATTTAAAAAGCCTAAAACAATGTTTCCCAAAGATGGGACACAAATTCAAGGATTTTTTTAACTTTTCACAGACGGTTTTCTCCTGCGATGACATTTGAAAAAATGCCTAAACCTTACTTGAATTTTTGTCCCATCTGTTGAAAAGACTATAACTAGCCTATAATTTACAATTAAAGCAGAATTTTTGGTTTTCCACAGCAAATATTACGAAAATGTAGTCATATTGAAATAAAATTCCCTAGATATTTAAAAAAATAAAATTTTATGTATAAGTACTTCATCACTATTCATATATCACATTATCTAATTTTGTTTTATCCAGCAAATGATTCCTAGCACAGAATACCTCATTGGGTAAAAGAAATTAAGGCTAAACGGCCCAAAATGTTTACTCTTCCCTCAGGATCAAAACAAACATTAGATAATATAATGTTAGAATTAAAAAAGTAATTTCAAGACATCTGAACATTCTTTATAAAAGAACAGTTCACTATATTTACCAATCAAATGCATCAAATATCTACTACTTTGCTTATTTAATTGAGAACCTACAAGCCAATTTCATAAAGTGGATAAGGTATTGATATCCCACGTGCAAAACAATCCTTGACACCCAAGTTTTTTTTTAATTATTCAATATAAAGTGTAGATTCTCAAGCAAACAACTATAGAACAGCTAAAAAAATTATTATCTATGATTTTGGTCACTTGAATGATATCATCGATATTTTTATAGGAATTATGCCAAATAAGCAGGCATTTCTAAAAGTGACATTGTGTGTCATTTGACAGCATCTATCACCCAGAACTTGTACATTTCAAAAATACAAATCCCACAAAATTTGAACCTACTGCTTTTAACAGCCAGGTCAGTTTTTTTCTGGAAAAAAAACTTCAACGTTAACCAGCCTCCCTTCGGGTACAAATGACCTCCATCCCTAGTCTCAAGATTCAACTCAAGGTCGACTTATATCGTAGTCAGATCATAGCGAGGCTTTATCCTTTTGAAGTACTGGTAATGGCAAATAGATGGCGCAGATGCGAAAGTTTTTCCATCATATTATAGTAGAGAAAAAATGATACTTTTGTTTTTTGTGGTATTTTTTACAACTTCAATACAAGTAAAACAATAATAATTGATTTTGAACCATAAATTCATGGTCAATATAAAATAAAAGCAACATAACATGAAAAAATTTTGATGGCATAACAAATTATACAATTTTTCAAAAACGCTATACTTTGGAATTAGATTGTCTACAGAATTTCCAAAACAAATCAGTGAAATCACAAAGCAACAATATCTATAACAATTTTCTTCTATGTTTGAAGTATGTAAAAACAAAATGAACAAAATGGAAATAAAATATACGATTTTGATTTGATATTTACCAGTTACTACAGCAAAAAATTTAATACATATTTTTTACGAATTGGCAAGAGGTCTATGAGGTAACATTTTTTGGGAAGTACTGATGATAGTGATATTTCCAGATGCTCAGAGTTCCCTACTAATACTGATACTGATATGTCTGGTTTTCTAACATACCCAATAAGAAAAGTATGCTGTAGTAACTGGAACATTTTAGGCCTTGGCTTCCTACCAACAGAGTTACCAAACTTCGCATTTCTTCTGTGGATTCATTTTAGAACCAGGCCTACAACTAAACTCCTGACTAAACTCTTTCAAGTTGCTAAGTGCTCCGATCACGCGATACTGAGCTGGAGAATGGGAATCTTTTTCTATTTGTAAGTTCGTAGCTTCTTTTGTTACTGCTGAGCACCATACCTATAAAACATTATGACCTATAGTCACAGTAATAAGGCAAGTATGAGTCAATCTACTTGACATCCGTTTCACTTGCTACGCCATAAGCATGGAAATATATTTTAATAGCAAACTGTTTATGATAGTTGATGTACGCCTTCTTTTTGATAATCCTGGTTAAGATGACTTCCCTCACAGAGTTCTAAAAAATGGCGTCAAGTAGGTTGACTTTGCACTTCCCTCGCAACGCTGTCATCAGTTTGTTTAGGATTGTGCTCGGTGCAAGTTAGCCCCTCTGCGAAAAAAATTAGCTACGCACATGTATAACAAAGAAATTGAATGTATCAAGTCAGTCAATTAGTCCTTAGTCCCCAACCATTTGAAAACGCTGCGATTTAGAATTTTCTCCTCTGCCCTACTGACAATGTTGCTGGAGCCAAGGGTCCGACATCAGACCCCTACAGTTTTATGCAAATACAAGGTCTGTAAATTAACTGATGAGACTGGCAACGTAGCGTTCGATCTAGCAACAGTGGAGGCGCCGGTGTTAGTAAGTGTGCACACTGTTAATGTTATAGGCATTGTATTTATCCGCGAAAATTTACAGGGTGTTCAAAAAGTATGGATATACCAAAATATTTCAAAAATGCGTTACCCAAAGAAAAATGTAAGGTTTGAAAAGATTAATCTCTTTATGAGACTGAAAGTGACCTTGACGATAACCTTCAAGTTCTGTTGAAAGTCAAGGCAGTTTCCTTAAAAGAAGCCTCTATTTTTGACACAGGAAATGTGAAGACCTTGTCCATTTGAGGAGGTTCAGAAAGTATGAAAAGGACATGAATATTTCGAAAAATACGTTTCATAAAGAAAAATGTTTTGTAATTAAACTGTAAGGAATGAAGACATTCTTCTTGTGGTGACCTTGAACGTGACCTTGTGTATGACGTTCAACCTCATTTGGAGGTCAAGACAGTTTAAGTAGAAATCCCTAGTTTTGATACCGAAAACAAAAAGAGCAAGGCACGTGTATGTTCAACTGTGTCCATGACCTCGTTGGACCCGTCGATTTGACGATCAAATTAATTTTTAAAGGAAAACATCTACTTTTAATTCCAGAAATGCAAATTGTGGAAAGTTCAAGTATATCCTTGCCAATGACACTGATTGTTTTACACAGCCTAAGTACCAGGACACAGCGGCTGCTATGAGGATCCCAAAAAAACTTCAAGATCATTTTAAGATCAGATAATTTTTCAAATAAACTTGATATAAAAAACGAGGAATAGAAATTAAATTATTATTGCCTTAAAATGTTGTATAAAAAATATTTATAGCCAAGGTAACTATGGCATTACTTTGAATAATGCATTTCTTTCTCCGAAACCAATCTCCTTCATAATAATGCGCAAGGAAAAACCTGTACTTTACACTACTTCTACGCGAGCGGAGCACCGGGTTTACTTTAGTGTACATAAACAGGGTGTTTCACAACTTATCCGATAAATGTTTACCACATACGCACTGTTACGAAAGAAGTTGATTTCTCAACAAAAATGCAATAAAAGTCCTACAGAAATTAAGTTATAAACCTGAGTTTCAATAATAAATTGAAAAATAAATATCTGTATTTTGCGTTCATCGTCGTGATATTACAACACGCATTAATAATTTATTGTAGCGAATGTTGTACCAAACAACCGACGAAAACAAAATACCAAGAATCTTTTGTTTTTTCATACTGATAAGAACGTGTAAATAAGAGTAATCTGAATGAAGGATAAGAAAGTATTTAGCGAGTTTATGTTTTCAGTTATTTATTAATAAAAATCGCACATGTGCACACTAATGAGGAGTTAGTGGACATTGTTTTAGCGTACGGAGAAGCAGGGCAAAATTCGCGAGCGGCTTCTCGTTGGTATGCACACCGATTTCCGAATAGGCACTTACCACATAACGAAACATTTGATTCAACTGTTTTACGTGCACGTGATAGTGGAGATTTGTGCCCTAGACGTGGAGTGGATAGGGGTCGGGTTCGCCCACAACGCGTTTTAAATGCCGAAGACGAAACTGTATTACTTTATTAACTCGATTTCTGTAGGACTTTTATTACTTTTTTTTTTGAGAAAACTTTCGTAACAGTGCATATGTGGTTAAAATTTGTCGGATAAGTTGTGAAACACCCTGTATAATACCGTATTCATTTTGAGTTTGAATGTTGATTGTGTATTATACTGTCACCCAATAAGTAACGGTTGTTGTGAGCATAAGTTGCCTACACACAGTACATTAATTATGGCCAATTGACACTTGACACTCAAAAGGTGTAACTTGGTACGCCAATTAACACCAATTCTGCTTATAGAAAGGCCATTGTTTCACTCCTAGGTTAAAATATCGTAGAAAGGACAAATCTAACTTGATGCGAAATAACCTTGAGTAATATTTGTAAAAACCGACCGAGTAAAAAATGGAGTCAAGCAGGTCGACTCAGTCCTTGCACGCATTGATATTAAAAAAATGGCGTCAAGTAGGTTGACTCTGCACTAGCCACGCAACGCTTTTATCAGTAAATAAAGGAGTATGTTCGGCACAACTAGACCCTCTGAGAAAAAGTTGGTCAAACAGGTCCATACAAGTTTTCAGGGCACAGAAATGTATGATTTGTGTAATATGTCTAATACGTGCATAGAATTACAAATGTTGGGAGCGTGTAAATGAACCAGCATCAAAAAATCGAGATAAACCCTCACGGCCCCCTTACAACCCCCACCCCCTTACAACCGCCACCCCCAATATCTAAATTCGAATATACAAAAATGTTTAACTTAAGGACCCAAATTCATTGTTTTTTTTTTCATATGGTCAAACATTTCAAAATACCGCTCAAAAGTGATTGAATTCGATAAAAAAAAAAACAGTCCGGATTTTTTAACCGTCCGTCTAGTTTTAAATTACTACTAGGTAATTGTTATCGTGCGAAGTGTGATCTCAAAGATTTGGCGTATTTACAGTGAAAGCTCTCCTTGCGGACAGCTCCTATAAGCGGACATCTCTTTTAACCGGACAAAGTTCCTGGAACCGAATTTCAGCCATCAATTTTCAATGTTAAATGCATTCCGATAAACGGACGCTCTTATAAACGGACGCGGACACTAGATTTTCCTGTATGTGATCAAAAAATCTCCCATAAGCGGACGCGAAACTCTAATACCCGGACGATTTTTTAGTTCCGCTTATTGCAATGCACATATCTACATACATAAAATTCGGTAATTCCCCGATTTATATTAGGTGATTCCCCATTTACGCATTTCGTTGGGTAGCCTGTATGTAATCTTGTGGCTTGTCTTCAGTTCAGGCAAATTCGTAGTTGATTGAGTTACATATTTTATTATTGTAACTGTAAAATGGCACCAAAAAAAAAGGATGCTCTCGTTAAAGGAAAAGAAGGAAGTTGTTAACGTATTAGACAGAGAAAGTGTTTCAGTTCGTCATTTGGCAAAGAGTTTTAATATTGGGAAAACGCAAGCAGCTGAAATTGCCAAAAATAAGGAAGATATCAGGAGTAAATGGCAATCAGGAACTAATATAAATCAAAAGAAGGATTTTTTAAAAAAGGAAGGTTTTGCTATAGACAAAACATGTTTTGAGTGGTTTGTGAAAGCTAGAAGTCAGAACATTCCAATCTCAGGGCCGTTAGTGAAAATGAAAGCTAAAGAAATCGCCACTACTTTGGGCTATAATAATTTCAGTGCGTCCGACGGGTGGCTGCAAAAGTGGCGCAAGAGACATAGTGTGAGTTTCAAATGCATATCTGGCGAAGCTGCTGCAGTAGATCAAGTTGATGTGTCACAATTTTTGGAGAAACTTCCGTCCATGTTGCTTGGCTACAAACCAGAAGATGTGTACAACGCAGATGAGAGTGGGCTTTTTTTCGCGCATTGCCCGACAAAACTCTGTCCTTTAAAGGAGAAACATGTGTGGGTGGAAAGTTGTCTAAAGATAGACTAACCATTTTATTCTGTGCAAATATGGCCGGTGAAAAATGCGATTTGATTGTGATCGGGAAAGCGGCTCGTCCCCGTGCTTTAAAAAACGTTGCTATTAAGGATCTACCAGCGACTTGGAAATCCAACAAAAAGGCATGGATGACCCGAGAAATCATGTCTGAGTGGTTAGTCGAATTCGACCGGAAAATGAGAATCCAAAAAAGGCAAGTTCTTTTATTTTTAGACAATGCATGCTCTCATCCTCGTGATATGAAAATGAAAAATGTGAAAATTATATTTTTACCGCCAAACACAACTTCTGTTTGTCAGCCCATGGATCAAGGTGTCATACAGAACTTTAAATTTTATTATCGGCACTTGATTTTAAAACATATTTTAACAAAAATTGACGATGGTCAAAGCTTATCTGAGCTTACAAAGTCTATCAATGTGTTAGAAGCTTTGTATTTTATAAAAACAGCATGGAATAAAGTAAATTCCTCTACAATTAAAAACTGTTTTGGCAAAGCTGGATTCAGAAAAAGTGAATGTAGCTCAGAATTTGCTGAGCAAAATTATTGCGATGCTGAAGACGATCTGCCCTTAGCGACACTTGCTCAGTTACTGCGACATGCCAAACATTTAGGAGTAGCAGATCCCCAGAAAGTAGATGATTTCCTGGCCATAGACAATAACATAACAACAGAAGAAAATGCCATTGGCAACTTTTCGAATTTGGATGTAGAAAGCCCAGGCCAACTTGAATATGGTAGTCCAAACGACTCAGAAGAAGAAGTGGAACTGGTGGACTCACTAAGCGGTTCAAAAACGATAAATTCATATGGGGAAGCTCTAAATCATATTTCTATATTGAAAAAATTTGCTAAAGATGATTTCACTGCATTTCAACATTTGAAAAATTTAGAAAGTTATTACGAAAATTGTCTCCTTCAGCAAAAGATGGTGAAATTTCGTCAGACAAACATTTTAAACTTTTTTCAACAAGCTAAAGAATAATGTTTTTTTTAAATTCTCGTACCATGTATTGAAGCATTTATGTTTTTGTATGCGTATATGTACATATATTATATAGATATATAGCATAAATACATACTTTAAAAATGTGGCGAGTTTCTGTTTCATTTTTCTCATGATTATAATACCTCATTTCCTCATGATTATATACCCCGTTATTTATACTCTATACTTACATACTCTCTTTTAAACGGACACCTCCCATAAGCGGACAAAAGTTACGGAACCGTGAGTGTCCGCTTATGGGAGCTTTCACTGTAATTAAAATAACCTATATATCCGTAAAAAATGAATCAGAACTTTTTTATTTCCAGATATAAAGATGTCTCGGTCCATACTACCTACCATTTCACTTTGTCCATTTAATCCCTAACCGAATAATGTCCCAAATTTGGCACACGTGAAGTCTATTTTATTTTCCCCCAATAGTTTAAGACCTTAACTTAAATTGTCCCATATCTGGCACGCCAAGAAACATTGTCGCCTCCTAGCACGTATTTTATGAATTACGTCAGATTTCGTTTAGCAGCCCGTATTCACGTGTTACTAAGTTTGTTTATAAAGTTGTGGTGGCCATAAAACGTTTAAAAATAAAATCTTTGGTGCCACTAAAATTATCTACGGCCTGGCAAGTATTTCTAATTGTGACTTTTGTAAAATTATGTCGTTCAACTCATACACCTGTCAATTTATCGTCATTTGTTTCCTTGTGCCAAGAAGTCTGACTATACAGGGTGTCTGCGAAAGGTTGGGAAATCTCGAAACTGGAGATACTACAGACCAAAATATGTGAATTGACCTGAACATACCTCAGTCCAAAAGTTGATCGTTTGCGAGATACAGGGTGTCAAAGTTACAGTTTTATTTTATATTTATATAATATACATAATACGGAAAAATATAAAATGAAATTGTAACTTTGAGACCCTGTATCTCGCAAACTATCAACTTTTGGACGAAGGTATGCTTAGCTGAATTCCCATATTTTGGTCTGTAGTATCTCCAGTTTCGAGATTTCCCAACCTTTCACACCCTGTATATGGCTTATTTTTTCAGATGGATCGAAAACGATTTTATGGTACTAAATCCGTTAAGATTCCGAACTCAAGTGGCGGTGAACATTAAAATTTGTCAGATGGTGATTTTCACCGAAAAAAAAACATTTTCTCAAGTTCTGGAGGAAGTTACCAGCGAAGAGGAACAGCTTGATAGAGAGCCACAACTGGATTTAAAAAAAAAGGAAATATCCCTTTGACGAAATACCAGCCCAAGAAATTCGTCGTGATAATGTGGGGCATCTTCCTGAATGGTATGAAGATTACCAGAGATGCAAATTTCCTGAGTGTACGGGAAAAACACAAGGTTCGTGTGATAAATGTAATGTTAGGTTATGTTTAAACAAAGACCAAAATTGTTTTCGCCGTTTTCATATATCTTCAAAAATGCATTTAGTTTAGGTATTTTTCCATGTATTTTTAACGATTTATAATAAATATGGTTTCATTAAATTTTTTGGTTTTCATTCATTTATTGCAATTTGTGCTAAATCTGGCACATGCCAAAGTGGACAATTATTTTCAAAAAAAGCATCTATAATTTTTTTATATATTTTTCTAGGTACTTTTGAAATATTCCCTATACATTATTTTTTTTCAAAAACAAAAAAATCATGTAGTAATAGGTTAAGTACGGAGCAACCTATACAGGGTTATCCAAATTAAGTGTCCACCATTAGTAACTTTGTTATTAGTGAAAATACAAAGTTGTTTGAATTAGCAAACTAGTAGCATTTTTAACGCTGGTAAAAATGAGAAATAAAAAAAAAACAATTGAGAGTCGTTATTTTGATTTTTTTCAGTAAAATAACATTTTTTTAAATGGAAACCCATGTATATTATATTTTTTTCTGTTAAAGCATCAAATTTTAAACAAAAAAGCTTACAATAACTTTTCTCCTAGGTTACAAATTGTTGAAGTTATGGCCTCCAATCTGAAACAATTAAATTGTATCGACAAACTTTATTTTCAACATCAACTTATAATCTTACAAAATACAATAACAATTTTTTTTAAAGAAGATGCTCGAAAACACCACCTTGTTCTTCAATACATTTTTGGGCACGTTTTTCAACTGCTCGAACTGTCTTAAGTATGGTCCTACCATCTATCTGGGTTATCTTTTCCCTAACTGCAGTCTTTAACCCTTAAACGGGCAGCGATAGAAGTAGGTCTATATTAAAAGTCCTGACTAATTTTTTGAACTTTTATTGATCAAATACAACAGAAAATAACATTTTTTAGATAAAAAAATTAAAATAAAAAAAAATACTAGTTGTATCTTCGAATGCACATTGCCTCTAGGAGGAACATGATTACTTGTGAAGCAGTTTCTCTGATTAGCTCCTGATACAATGCATAAGCGCAAATTACATTTTTGACATAAAATTGTTTGTCCATTTGTGCAAAGCCTACAGCGGCCTTTTTCAGTGAAAACTGGAAAGTGTCCAACGTTGTCAAACCGGACATCTTCAGTAGGCCGTGGAGCGACGGGAACTTTTATTTTGTTTTGAGGGAGCAAGTTTGCTGCAGCAGAAGTTCTTTTTCTGGGTACGTTACGAGATTGAATCAAAGACTTTGCGATGTTTATTCTGAAGTCTTTGAGCTTATTATATTTTTTGCCTTGTGAGGCTAGATCTCTCCGATACAATAGTCAGGCATTATTGACAGCTATATCAATCATCTGACTAAACATAGCGAGATACCATCGCTTTGATTTGAAGGGAGTCTTGTACAGTGAAACCAGCATATCAGATAAGTCTACGCCTCCCATATGAATGTTGTACTGTTTGACTATTTGAGGGCACTGAACGTTTACCTTTTTCTTTTGTTCTTTACTAAATCGGCTAACTTCAAACACTGGACTGTGCGAAATGTACGAACTCGCCAGAGTCACACATTTAGTGTCTGCCCATTTTATCACCGCTAGTCCCACGGAATTGTCTACTCTGTAATCAAAGCTACCTCTCCCCTTCCGTAGAAGTTCTTTGTCACTTAGCAAGGGACATCCTCTAAGTCTGTTGCTTCTAATGGTTCCCAAAACTTGCCAATTTTTTATTTTTCTTCAAGTATTCAATTAGTTCCAATGAACAAAAGAAGTTATCAAAATAGACAAAAGACTCTTCTGGTTTCTGAATAGTTCTGCACAGGACAAGTACCACTTTTGCACCAAGTCCTATTTGTTGTTCCTCCTTTGAAAATAGAATTTCGTCAAAAGTACTAGAGCCGGTATAGATGAGAAAGTCTTGCACAATCCCTGACACGCCTGCTCGAACGAACATCTTGAACTCCCACTTCTTTGGCTTTTTAGGCATATATTGGCGCAGACTTCCAGCTTTCTTGCCTTTGTAAGCAATCATCATTTCATCTATAGAAAACAAACCTTCCTCTTCGATAGCTATACATTTTTGTCGCAGTTTTTCTATAAGGGGACGAATTTTGAATAATCTATGTCCTTGCGGATCAGTATTGTTATCCTGAAAGTGTATGCGTCTTCGCAATTTCTTGAAGCGCTTTACAGGCATAACATCGGCAATAATACTATATCTCGTTTCTATGGCCCAATAGTCTTCGATTGCTGGCACTTGGACTACACCCATTATCAACTCAATTCCTACAAACGATCTTATTTCATTAGCTGTAGTATCAATAGAACGCCCAGTTGTCAGTGTGGAGTAAATATTCGTTTGGTGTGCAATATGCTCAAACAAATCATCGTCAAAAATTTTTTCGAAATAAGCCAGAGGGGAATATTCTCCGTCTACTCCAGCAAAAAAGACATCTTTTGGATATCTGATGTGTTGGAAATCTGTTTTGTTCCAAGTGTAACGTTTATCACCACCTGGTATAGCATTATCTCTCGATGTTTGCACAAAATTCGCTAAAGGTAAATCATCTGATTCCCAGTCGCTTGAAGTATCAACTACTGGTAAGCATTTGCGCTTCTTAGATGTGGGCGGCTGCTGATAATCGGGGTCCAAATCGCTATAGTCTCCGCCAAACAGCTCCTCCTCATCTGATGATTTGCCAACGTCTGATACACACGTTATTTTTAATGGGCAATGTGCATCTAGGGATACACACATTTGTAAGACAAAAACTAACCTCAAAAATTTATTCAAAGAAAAACTAAAGCAATGAAGACTCAAAGGAAGCATCAGCTTTCATAATTATATAATTACGAACACACCAGAGGCTGTAATAACTAATTTGTACTATATTGAGCTTACCGGGGTCAAAACTTGATTATCCATAACAATGACACAAAGTACCACCTACCATGCGGACAACTGCAAATAAAATGAACCGGCATAGGCGACACAACGTTGCTAGTGAATGTATCTCACACTATACACCGCCCAATTCGCTACATTTTAATGGGTTTTTAAATACATGCCAGTACCATGTGACCGTATCTCAGGAGAGACATCGACCGTTTAAGGGTTAACGCGTCAAGGTTATCGTACCTTCGCTTGTAAATTTGGTTCTTTAAGTAACCCCACAAGAAGTAATCAAGTGGGTTTAGATCTGGTGATCTGGGAGGCCACTGTATTGGGCCATTTGTTCCTATCCACTGATCATTAAAAGTAGTACTTAGAAAATGATAAGTACCTCTGGAGTTGTGGGCAGGTGCGCCATCTTGCTGAAAATGCAGATGATGTCTACTTATAAGATCCAATTCGTCTAAGAAATTAGTCAGAATTTCTGACATAAATTCCACATATCTTTCACCAGTTAGGGTTCCCTCATAAAAGAACGGGCCAACAATTTTTGAACCAATTATACCGCACCAAACGTTGAAACTGAAACGGACTTGTGGGCCTCTTGGATGTACTAACAAAAGATTTTCTCTTGACCAATAATGGTGGTTTTTTCTATTAAACATTCCAGAATTTGAAAAATTTGATTCATCTGTCCATAAAAGGTACCGAAAGTTATTTACATTTTGGCGACAGAAGCTAAGATACCAATGGCAAAAAACAAGTATTCTCTCTGGATCCCCTGCCAAAAGCGTTTGAACTGGTCGGTACTTATACGGAATAAATTTGTATTTTTTTAAAATCCTTTGAACAGTACCATAACTGAAATTAGAATCCTTGAGAATATCTGCTATTGAATTCTCACGATAAGCTTCAAAATATCCAATAACTGCAATTTCCGTGGCCTCGCTTATTATGAATTCTTTTTTTGCCCTTGTTTTAGCAAAAACATTTTCGTTGCCCCTAAATTTTCGATAAAGTCTCAGAAAATATCGTTCATACGGTTGAATGCGAGCGGGATATAATTATATTATTATATCTTGCTCTCAAGGAGGATTTTCTGCACACTAAATAGCATTCTAACATATCACACTTTTCTTCAGGGGAGAACATTTTTCTTTAAATTAATGACACAATAAAGCTTATAAACAAGTATTTACACTAATGTTTGACATTATTTGATTTTATCATTGTTTTCCAAAGCCTTCTAGTTGCGAGTATGTCCAGTTTAACAATTTGTCGCTTATCTTAATGCTGTCAAATCGCGAACGCCATGTTGTTTTCATAGCCGTCTTAATATTATAATACTGCAAATAATTAAAAATATTTATCGTTATTTTGACTTTATTTTTGACTTTAGCGGAAAAGTCATTATGAACTTTTTTGTTTAAAATTTGATGCTTTAACAGAAAAAAATATAATATACAGGGGTTTCCATTTAAAAAAATATTATTTTACTGAAAAAAATCAAAATAACGATTGTTTTTTTTATTTCTCATTTTTACCAGCGTTAAAAATGCTACTAGTTTGCTAATTCAAACAACTTTGTATTTTCACTAATAACAAAGTTACTAATGGTGGACACTTAATTTGGATAACCCTGTATACGTGGTTTCATTCCACCAACAATGGAGTCCTAGGTATTTTCCGAATCATTAGAATAATATAATAATTTTTCAATAATGTAACGTCAAAAGAAATGATATCTCGATGTAGAATTTTTGCGATTGGCGTGCGAAGTGAAATAGTGTCAATTAGATTAACTTACTGTATTCAACCATTGTTTTTATTATAACTAAAAAGGCCTCCAGCAAAAGTCAAATCATACTAAAGAAACATGAAAAGGTCGATGTAGAAAAAATGTTTAAAATTGGCTTACCTGAGCAAAAGCGACGAAAAACAGCTGCTTATGAGTGAGAGGGATGCCAGGCAAAGGGGGAGGTTCCGGTTTGTCCTTCATCAGCTCCAAATAAGCGTGATATGCAGCTTTTAACCCTCCGTTGTCGGCTATATTCTCGCCTAACGTTTGATTCCCGTTGATGTGTTTGCCGTTGATTTCATACTTATCTAGAAAAAACAAACAGTAAGCAACTTATAAAATAGAGAAACTACAGTAACATAGCTTTCGCCGAGACACGTCAAAAGATTTATAAACTTTTTAACCAACTTCACTCCCTTTCACCCTCGGCCCCCCAGGGTGATTCCATTAAAAATTTTAATTGACAAGGGGTATCGAGTAATAGCTTGTTTGAGAGGTTTTTCGAAGTCCTTCATTTTGACGTTTGATTTTTTAAAATCAGTCGATTCGTTTTCGAGAAAATTAGAAAAATATGTATCATAATTTGTTCACATAGAAAGCAAAAACACGCGAAAATGTCACATTTTATTTCAATAAGTGATCAAAATATTGCCCGTTATTGGCCGAAAAATGATATAAGCGACGGACATTTTCAAAAACGTATTGTGGGATATCATGGCAGCTTTCGATGATGTGTTGACGAAGTTCATCAAAACTTTGAGGTTGGGGAGCAAACGAAATAGATTTCAAATGGCCCCATAGAAAAAAGTCTAATGATGCCAAATCAGGAGATCTAGCAGGCCATTCTATAGGCTCACTTCGCCCTATCCAATTATCAAACAAATTAAGATAAATAAAGATTTTTCTAATTTTCTCGGAAACAAATCGACTGATTTTAAAAAATGAAACGTCAACATAAAAGACTTCGAAAGACCCTTCAAACAAGCTATTACTCGATATACCTTGTCATTTAAAATTTTCAAGGGATTGACCCTGGGTGGCCGAGGTTGAAAGGGGGTGAAGTATTTTTTGGTTAAAAAGTTGTCCAACTTGACAAATCTATCTCGGCTTTTTTTCTTTTAATCAGTGATTTTTGATAAACCCGTGGTGTGAAGTTTTCATATGAACACCCTGTATCTTAAACTCACTATATTGTTCCACGACGCACTTCGTCCTGTCCTTAAACCTCTCCACAGTCTCGTTCTTCCACCAATGCTTCAAATTCCCATGCCTATCAAACTGCCTGCCCTGGTCGTCGAAAGCGTGGGTGAGTTCGTGCCCCATCACTACGCCCATGGCCCCATAGTTCAGGGCTGCGGGGTGCGACGGGGAATAAAAGGGAGCTTGTAAGATACCGGCTGGAAATACCATTTGGTTTTTGGTGGGGGTGTAGTAGGCGTTTACCGTTGACGGAGGCATACCTAAAAGGAAAATTGTGGTCAAACAATATGGAAAATATACTAAGTGACATATAAATCCAAACACCCAGTTTAAATGGTTTTATTTTAATAAAATTTTGTATAAGTACTTAATGAAGCATAATAAGTAAATGATAAAATTTTCAAAATGATTGCACTGCTTTAAAGCCCTTTGACCTTTAATACTGTGTGGATGCACCCTGATGTGCTACGCATTCTCCAACGCGCCTAGGCATGCTTCTGATCAGGTGGTCAATGTCCTCCTGTGGTATCTCATTCCAGGCAACCACCAACTCCTCTCGAAGTGCTTCTAGAGTCTGAGGAGGACGTTGCAAATTGAGCAATCTCCTACCCATCATATCCCACACGTGCTCAATTGGGGATAAGTCGGGAGATCTTGGTGGCCATGGTAACAATGTGACATCATTATGTTGAAAGAAGTCTATTGTGACTCTTGCAACATGTGGTCGGGCATTATCTTGTTGAAAAGTTGGATCTGCCAGGGTGTCAAGATAGGGTAAAAGATGGGGTTCTAGAACTTCGTGGATATAACGCTGCGCGTTCATGTTACCTCTGATGAAGATTAAAGGTGACGTGGAACCATAAGCTATAGCACCCCAAACCATAACTCCAACAGTGTGATGAACATGTCTTTCAACAAAAAACTGTGGATTCCTCCTTTCACCACGTCGCCTTCTAACCCTGTCACGACCATCGTGCATGCCTAAACAAAATCGAGACTCGTCACTAAAGACAATACTGTTCCATTCCTGATCCCAGAGTGACCGTTGTCTGCACCACTCAAGGCGATTACGTCGATGTTCTCGGGTTAAAGGGAGGACCCAGTGTGGCCGGTATGAAAACAAGCCAAAACTTCTCATTCGTCGGTAAACACTTCGCATGCCAATAGGTCCTCCGTGTTCTGCAAACCATTCATTTGGAATGGACCTGGTAGTGGAGAAACGGTCCCTTAAGGCCAATAATCTTAGGCGGCGATCTTCACGGTCTATTGTTCTACGGCGGCGTCCAGTGCCCCTTGCTCTTTGCGTACGGCCTTCTCGAAGCCATGCCTGACAACACCTCACCACAGTGGCTACACTTCTTTGCACTCTAACTGCAATTGCCCGAAAAGAAAGTCCAGCTTCCCGAGGTCCCACAATACGGCCCCTATCGAACTCACTAAGTTGACGAAATCGTACAGGTCTCCGTACTCTAGGCATCGTAACCGATCGTAAAGGATGTCAAGAACCAAAATCCGCCAAGGTTGATTCTTTACTGCGGCTGAAATATTCATTTTTAGAGCGTTAGTGAATTAAAAAAAAACAGTATAAAAACCGGAATGTCCAACTGACAAGGCTGAAAATTTTTTCACTTGTTATTTACAGTAAGATAAATACATTCACCAACTTTTGTTAAAATAAAACCATTTAAACTGGGTGTTCGGATTTATATGTCACTTAGTATAATTTTTGGTCATGGTAAGCATGAGTAAGTTCGTGTCCAACTTTGACACACTTGGCCTCGTAGTTCAGTGCTGCAGGATCCGATGGTAAATAATAGATGCCTTAAGGATTGAAAAATGTCTAAGGGTCAATTAGTATGACCTTGAATTGAAGGTCAAGGAAGTTTTCTTAAAAAGAAACCCTATTTTTCAGACCGGTGTGGTGAAGAGCGAGAAATTTTATATTCTAGTTTGTTCTTGACCATCAAAAAATTTCGTCATATTAGGGCGTGGGTAAGTGCGTGCCTCATCACTACGCCCATGGCCCCATAGTTCAGGGCTGTGAGGTGCGATGGGGAATAAAAGGGGGCTTGTAAGATACCGGCTGGAAATACCATTTGGTTTTTGGTGGGTGTGTAGTAGGCGTTTACCGTTGAGGGAGGCATACCTAGAAGGAAAATTGAAGTACAATATGGAAAATAATTTTTGGTTATGGAAAGCATGAGTAAGTTCGTATACAATTTTGACACATTTGGCCTCGTAGTTCAGTGCTACAGGATCTGATGGGAAGTTGAATTGAAGGCCAAGAAAGTTTTTTGAAATAGAAATCCTATTTTTGAGATCGGCACGGGTATTACATAATAATAATAAGCGTTTATTGCCCAACAGTTTAACACCATTTACAGAGCAAACTACTATAAAAAAAATCACCATGAGGTAGCTTGTTAAGAAAAAAAAACAATAATAATTCATGTATCAATAACAAAAAATAAATATAGTTACAGCTTAAAAATAAGAAACGTAAGATAAATCAAAAGTGAGCACGCAATTTGCACTTCAATTCACCTATGCTATATAAGAATATGTCACATACATCGGCTATTTTATTCGCATTCACACACATCATGTTGACAGGCGCTTTCGACAATAAGTTTGTTTGAGCTCTTTGACATAAAAAAGGAACATTATACCTTGATGTTAGTCGTGGTACCAGAAACTGTATTTGTGAAAGTATTGTAGGGCAGTCTATTAGATTATGCAGTAATTTATATAAAACTATAACTGCTGATTGCTGACGCCGTTGTTCTAAGGATTGAATGCCAAATTTATGAAGAAGGATGTTGTATTCTGTACCTCTAGTAGGATATATGCCATTGATCTTAAAACATAAAAATTTTAAAAATTTCTTTTGAAGTTTATCAACAACATCAATATACTGCTTGTAAATCGGACTCCATATCAAAGATCCATATTCAAGCTTAGACCTAACCAAGCTAAAGTATAATGTCTGCAAAGTCAAAACGTCAAAAGATTTACAATTCCTGATAACGAAGCCATAGGTTCGGTAAGCACTTGATATGATTTGATTGATATGCTCATTAAAGGTTAGATGTTGATCAAAGTGACATTATGTCGATTTTTTTGATATTTTATTGGTTTTTTGTGACATTATGCAGGTTTTTCTACAAAATGTTAACTTAGCACCACCTGATGGACACTAGTTGAGAACTCGTTTTGTAGTTGTACGTGTTGCCTAAACGTCATGATGGTTCGGTTATCAATGTTTGGTCACAGAGCCCTACCAGAGGCGACGCTCTGTCCAAAATCAGGTTCTATCAACGCTAACTTGAGTTCTATGCGTTTAGTGGGATTCCTGTTGGTGTGACATTTAGGGGTTATCCGTGGAATGTTTTGACACGTGGCCGCAAAACAGTTTTATCAAAACAAATCAATTATCTGGCCTAAATGCGTAAAGGATTTTTTTCGTGAGTCCACGGTGTAGCACAGTGCACTACCGGGAACCGATGCTCGAATTTTCGCAAAGAACGGGAATAGGGGAAGACGGATGTGACGTCGTCCGAATGTCAAAAAATTACGTGGTACGAGTACCCGCCTAACGTCTGTGAAGTACTAGCGGGTGACAGGTCTTATGTCAATTTCATTTAAAAAACAGGCATATCAATTGAACATTTGTCATCGCAGTGCTGAAAATTGAGTTAAATTATTAAATCATAAATAGAGGAACACGTCCACCTGATTTGAAATGACGAGGGAGAATGTCATCGAAGATATATGAACCGCACTTAAATATCAAATGATTGATTTTATTGATATATATGTACATTGCACAAAAAACGGTCGGTATTTTTATTTCAGATTCAAACTGCGGTTCACACGGGATCTCGCAAAAGAATCTCTATTGGGGGAAATAATAAACACAAATTTCTTCATTCTGTAGCTTGACATATGACATTCGTGACCTCCGGACGTTAATGAACATTAGCGGGAAATGTGGTAAGGAGTTGGAGGCACGAAGATTAAAGGGACCGACAGCAGATGTCTCATCTGCTGTGGTTTGGCTCTGATGGGATATAAAATCTGCTTCAGAGATGGCACTAATACGAGGTCTAAGCTGTAAGTTGTTACTATAGCTAGAAGGAAACGGCATATGCATAGTGAGAAATTGTGTGCTAATATGTGTTGATGATAATTCCATTGGATTCTTGTCTCAATTACACTTACTTGAGATTCAAAGCTAGAAATTAGCATCCACTTTTTCTTATTCATTCTGGAAATTACATATGCAAATTTGCTGATTTTCAAAAATGAGAGAGATAGGAAAGGAAAGTCCCTAGTTGGTGAGCAACAGTTGAGAAAATATGCTACAGACAGGAATACTGATGAAAGTAAAAAGGCTATTACATTATTTTTAATTTCCAGTTATAAATTTAATAGAAATTTATTTTGCGATGTCAATAGAAAATACAAATCAGCGCCTAGATGTGAGGCATTGCGAAAATGTTTTATGTGTGATGCATCATTACTAATTTTTTTTTTAATGTGGCTTAATTGCACACAACGCGGGCGCGGTGGCGGTTTCTCGTAGTGCTCCTCAAAGTTTTTGAAAACACAAAAAAACGGGAAAAATCGTAATTTATAACTTTGAACATAACCTGTAGATATACTTCATGACAACATATTCAGTAATAATTTTCTCACACAGCAAATATCACCGATTTCATTTATACACATTCAGACCAATACACATAATCATCCGGATGCCATCTTTTTCTTTTTTCACCTCTTCTCAGAGATGAAAACTACTCGTCTTCACAAAATATATGCAACCAACAATGCGTTGAGTCATTCCTCCATAGATGGACGCTCACAGCGGTCATAGCGAGCAAACGTAGAACGAACTATATGCACCCTAAAAACTACCTAGTCTGCAAGATGACATGTTACTAGTTTTTTTTTTTGACGTTTTACAGATTTTTACATAATACCCGTGCGGGTGAAAAGCAAGAAATTTTATATTCTAGTATGTTCTTGACCATCAAAAAATTTCGTCATTTTTGGGCAGTGTTTCTCAAAGTGGGCGATAACGCCCTCTTGTGGGCGCTGGGGACGCAATGTACAACTTTTGTCTCCCGCTCCTCAATTGTCATTTTTCTTTCTCAGAAGCGCTGATGTAGTAGACGCTTTTCAATTTTCAATCGTAGATACCTGAGAGTACCTCTATTTTAGGGTGTGTAGGTTATTCATTGGTGACGTGTGAAACGAACTATATTTTAATACTTACTCCAAGACGTTTTATTAACAGGTTCGTTGATCTTCTCGAGGTTTTTTCTCAAATTATATTGACTTATTTGTATATTATTTTCAAAGTACGAGTCATTCCTCACAGTGAGGCTCTCGAATCTCTCATCCAGCTGATCAGTGTCTTTAATAAAATCTGGATAACCTTGAGAAACAAACAAAATTACAATTTGTCAGTTGAACACACACTTTGTTGGAGTTTACATTGCATATATAGTTTTTTTAATCTTACCTATCATATCTGATATAGCATCTGCTTTGGCAATAGCAACTTGCCTCGTTTCTTCATCCATCCATTTCAGATTTTTAAAATTTTTCTTGAATGCATTCCTAACATTGTTTATCATTTCTTCTGCTTGGATTTTTGAATCTTGATGGAACACTTCTCTTACAAAAATCGCACCTATAGCAAACCCTACAAAATTTAAAATTAATAAGCATAAAAATTTCACAAAATAATGTCTTCTTACCAAGCACAGAATTGGTATCTTGAATGCAGTACCTCCATTGCGGTTCTTCACCACTTTCTGAACCAGTAAGAGCTATTCTGAAGCCTTTATACGCGTCTCTAAATGCTTTTGATAAGCAAACTGTAAACACTCTTATTGCTTGCCACACCATGTAGTTATTCAAAATTCTGTAAAAAGTAAGCATTTGTGCGTCACCGAAAACAATAAAAGCAATTCAACTACAAGTTAACTTACGTTCTACCCGTTCTTGTGTTGTTATATTCCTTGATAAGCCCTGTTAGGTTTTTCAAATAATCTGGAGCATAGACTACCACTGGTTCCTTTTTGTCGATTTTCTTTTTCACAATTCGCATGGCATCCTCAAAGAACATCCTCCAATCTATCTGCAAGTTACCACAGATGCCGTTAAATGTTTTTTGAAATTTTAAATTCAAATGGTGAAAAAAATTAGAACATTTAGTATTTTTCACACTTTAGCGTAGGCAACCACTCACACGGCAGATTATCCTCCCATCTACTGAGAGAAAGCTGAATAGTACCGATCATTTTATGATACCTGTAATCTAGTCAGTACTTAGAAAGTCTGATAGATGGCACTAATGTCTGATTTTTATAGGCAACCAGTTATACACCCCTATCGAGTCAAATGTGATACCTGCTGTTTATCCAATATGTTAGTATTGCCTGCCAATCATAGATAGCGCCACAAACGGTAGTTTTAACCAGAGGCGTAACATATGGGGATTTATAGGAATGCCTACATAAGGTGTGCGAAAACTAAGCTTTTTTAAGAACTTGTGCCAGTTCGTGTGTAACAGAATACAACTTACAAATGGCGCCAATTCTTGCAGTTCCTGTATGGTCATCAGATTATACAGTTGTTCCTCATCTCTTCTAAGCTCATTGGGAATCGTAATGTTAGCTAATCGTGTCTCAAAATCCATCACATCTTCCATTTGTTTTCTTGTTGAATTTGCTTCACCACCCAGCAAAACTCCTACCTAACAAAACGAAAATGTGAAATTTTAAGTTATTCAGTCACTTTTTTTGGTACACTTTTATTACCTTAACCATGTACTCCAGACAAGCGTTCACGACTCTCTGGTGTTCTATGGTTTTATTTAAATAATAATCTCTGGTAGGGAGTGTTAACCCATTCTGATCGATTTGGAGAACATGTCTTGTTGAGTTTCTGTCGTCTTCACCAACAGCATAAGAGAAGAGTCCACCTAGAAGCAAAATAAGTTTCTGCTCAAAAAGTAATATTTTAATCGATCGTTTTTTGTGATCTACGGATTCAAGTTGATTGAAATTTTTGAATTTTAAATATCTAGAGAGCCTGAAAGACATCAGTGGCGTATCGTTGTGAACGCAACCAGTAATACAAACTGTCAAATTCAATTGTGCTGCCATCTGTTGACTTATTAGCCACAAGTAGTGTTAGCTGCTGTGCCAATAGTGATACCTGCACTTTAGCTGATCCGTTTTTGTCAGTGGCGTAACAAGTAGACGCTGTTCAGAAGGAAAATATAAAAACTTTTACAAAGTTTGAAATAAAACATCTTTATCATTCAGCTATTAGTTTGTCATCTTCGTTCCATGCCACAGAGACAAAATAGCCCTAAAACACTAGTGCATATAACTAAGAATTCGATCCTTCACCTATAAAATGTAGCAATAAATTATAGAAATGATATTTGGAAGTGAATTTCTCTTACCAATATTATACCTGTTCTGAACAGTTTGGGTGATATTCTGCAACGTCCAGCTGTCTATATTGAATCCACTATTTGTGATATTCCATCCGCCTAACTTGATTAGAAGTTCCTGCATGGGAGTTGCCCCCAGTTGCTCTACTGTGTCGTTGGTGTCCAGGCAGGATTCGTAATACATTTTTGCTTTTTGCTCCGCCTTTGATTTCAGCGTGTCTATTGGTTGCTCTTAAAACACAAAACATCTACTCAGTTACAGTAGTAGATTTAGTAATATAGGAAAATTATTTTTTTATCCATGAAATTAGGTAAAACTTGCACAGTTTTCCAATAAGGTCGAATCGATGTTGAAGCGGATCAGAGCAATTTGTGTGAGCTAATGACTATTTTTTTATTTATAATTACCATACTTCTCTCTCTCGTTAGAGATCTCTCATTGAACCATTTATTGCACATAATTGACAGGATCTATAATGAATACACGGCCCTTTAAAATGAAAAGCAATTGTGATGCCTCGCACAACTTGGTATTTATTATATTTTAACAACGACTTGCCCTTATATTATAAGAAATACCTATATATTTCAACAAAATTCTTTACGGAAAAATCTAAATCAGAAATATTCACTTTCCCGTATCTATCAAAAATACTTTGGTGTGCTCTTATTCATTTATTTTCTGCTAAGAATATTGTCTATTTTTAATTCGTTTAATATTATCGAATTTTTAATGTTACTGTGTTCAAATAATGTCAACATATAACTCATGTAAAAAACGATTATTTTATTTTTTTCACAATTAGAAATCAAGGATCAGGATCAGGTAATAATGATGAGAATCCTCTGAAATGTCAAAATACGAAATTTGCGTGATTTTTACTTTTTTGTTTTTGGTCCTTTTCTCTGCCGCCACTGAAAAAATTTTCAAAAACTACGAAGCTTTTTTCTAATTTCGGCTTAGTATTAGCCTTGAGTCGAACTTTCATCAAAATCTGACCGGTACTTTTACTTAAAGTTTCAAGTTAAAGTGGAGTCAAGGATTAGTGGACAGACAGACCGATAAATAGACAGACCGACCGAAATGAATGACACAAATCAAATCGAAGCGAATAACCAAAATTTCTGTATTATGTACCGCGGTTATAATATGGTTTAAGATGACACACGGGTTGATGACGTCAGTCACTCGAATCACTTCAACGCGTTGGTTTTAACCGCGGTTTTGTTGCAAGTTATTTATTTTGGAAAAGCGCATATATAATTTTCGATTATTTTTATTATCACTTAATAATCGGTGCTTTTTCGTCTAGAACAGTGCATGGAAGGTTTATAAAATAAACCTTTCATAATATTAATGGGAGAAAGTTATTTTTCAGAATAATTTAATGATGGAACCCTGGCTTTGTAGCTATGGTAACCTTCAATTCTTTAAACTTGTCCGCATGTTAAAGAAAACATTTATTGATTTAGCAGAAATGATAGGAAAAAGAGATGAAAAAACATATTAGCAAAACCGTATACAGATGGACATTATCCAGTGAGTTTATATGGTCACATTTTAATATTCTTGTGGTACATGATACTTTGTTAAGCATAGGAACTAGATTTAAAGTGTCCCCAACAACAGTAATGAGTATATCTAATAAGGTGCTCTTCTTTATGCTACAACTGAAGTCAGCCTGTATCAAGTTTCTCAAAAATGAAGCTGAAGTACAACAAAAATATCCAGCACCCGCCAAAATTCTAACTTGTCACATTTCAAATCATAACCAGAAATATAAAGCTACTCCGGAGATGGGTAAATACCACAATTTTACGGTGATAACTATGACATATAACAGCTGATTCATGACGTCACGGATCTTATAACAGTTATAACCAAAGTGATAACCACACTCGCTTGAACGGATCGGTAAATACCAATCCAAAATGGTAAATACCATTTTCATTTGGTTATTCGCTTGAATTTGATTACAGTCTTTCATAATGTAAATGTCTTGAAACATGAAAAAAGTATTTTCCGCAACTACAACTACAAACTGATAATCCAATTTTCTATTTACCTAAGATCCTAACGATGACCATCTGGTTTTCCTGTTCCAACCTCATGAACGTACCCCATGTAGTCTTGCCGGTAGGCGGGGGGTTGTTTTTAGCCCATCCTCCGCACGCGTATTCGTAGAAGTCGTCACATGGGGATGGAGGAATAGTACCTGGGGGCGCCGTTCCTTCAGCAGGGACCCCCACGGCCCCTGAAGACATGGAACGCAGGACCCCGTCTGCGGCATGCACGCACGCCGCTGTCAAGCATGGTACGGAACCTGACAGATTGCCGTTGGGGTAGATTGTAGGGGGTTGTACTATGGGTTGCTGCAAAAAATAGTATATTGATAAGCGAAATACGTGTCACTTATAATATTACAGGATAAGCGATTCCGCAAATAACACAGACCGACAAAAGTAAGCCGGCTTGGCGGAAATATTTTAAGCTAAGGTGCAAAAATAGCGATTTTTTAATATATCAGAGGTTATGAAACTTAGTGAATTATTTTGATTGCAAAAAATCATAGACATCTCAAAATACAAGCCTTGTACTTTCAAATGCCGTTGGATTTGCTTAAATATCTGTCTAGATATTATAGGGTGGGTTGGTGGCTCGTGGTGTGGGTAATTTTTGGATATTGTAAGCTAGATCGGTTCAGCTTTTATCAGAGGAAAGTAATTTTCACTTAAGAGGTAGTTTAGTTGAAACTAAGAACGTTAAACTTGGCCTTGATAGGGTAGAGTGGCTTGTGGGCTTGTTAGAGTTAGAGTTAAGTTTTTCTAGGTCTTATTTCATACAATTATATTAACTTGTTATTAAATTTTGTGGTGTATTATGATGAACCATAACACAGATGCATACATAATCATAACGTCAAATATAGTGAAACTCAGAAAAATTAAAATTTGAAAGTGCATATTATATCTCAACGAAAACAAAACGGCATTTGAAAGGGCAAGGTTCGTAATTTGGACCAAGGATTCGGATTCAGCCCATCAAAAACGTTCCGGAAACTATACCCTGGTTTCTTGGTGAAAATCCTATTGGCGTATGTAATTTTATGAAAAAAGCATATGTGCCGCACTGGCTTAGCTTTGTTTGTGAGTGATTATAATTAATAATACAACTTGAGTCGAGAGTCAAGAATCCGCTTGGTATCATTTTGTATGTTACACTGTATAGACTGTAGAGGCATCCTGCGTAAATATTTCCTTATTAACAACGTAATACCAGGGGGAAGCCACATAAGTATTCGCATCAGTAATCACCTGCATGTGTGTCTGTAAACGTGCCTCAAACCAGCTCTAAATTTAAAACACTAACAGTTGACTGACAACCATTCCATTCTAATAAACATTACTTTGTCATAGGTACCGCGATGTTGCATTTATGATTCACTGGGAATGTTCAGTCACCGTAAAGCGGTGCAGCGCTTTCATGCTGAATTGTAGTAGCATTTTTCACTTGGCTGTCAGATTTGATAGTATGTTGGTTAATGTTGCAAACTGTCAAAGCTATTCCAGAGCTACTCCTATTCAGCATAAAAGCGCTGCACCGATGGACCGCTTCACGTTGACGGAACAATCCCTTTGAGATTTAATAAACAATCTAAAGTTTCAACTTTTCATTACCCATGAGCCATTTATTCCAAAAAACAATAAAATGTGTATCCCACCAGCTGCATTTCTCACGGGCTCACGTAGAAAATAAAATGAGTGCGATCTTGTTAGTGAATGAAAAAACAAAGGTTTACAAAAACAATGCCCTCCTAAAATACTTCGACATTTTTTGGCAAATGTATAAATATTTAAGACGAACAAATCCTCGGACTTTCCTTAAAAAATTCTCTGAACACTTTTGATATAATTTTGGGTCTGGTCAGATTCATAAGCTTTAACACTAAACGTCAAACTTGTACTAGAAACTTATACTTTAATACATAACTTGAAACTTAAACTTAAACATGAAACTTAAACTTGAAACTAAACTTGAAACTTAAACTTGAAACTTAAACTTGAAACTTAAACTTGAAACTTAAACTTGAAACTTAAACTTGAAACTTAAACTTGAAACTTAAACTTGAAACTTAAACTTGAAACTTAAACTTGAAAACTTAAACTTGAAACTTAAACTTGAAACTTACACTTGAACCTTAAACTTGAAACTTAAACTTGAACTTAAACTTGAAACTTAAACTTGAACTTAAACTGAAACTTAAACTTGAAACTTAAACTTGAAACTTAAACTTGAAACTTAAACTTGAAACTTAAACTTGAACTTAAACTTGACTAAACCGAAACTTAAACTTGAAACTTAAACTTGAAACTTAAACTTGAAACTTAACTTGAAACTTAAACTTGAAACTTAAACTTGAAACTTAAACTTGAAACTTAAACTTGAAACTTAAACTTGAAACTTAAACTTGAAACTTAAACTTGAAACTTAAACTTGAAACTTAAACTTGAAACTTAAACTTGAAACTTAAACTTGAAACTTAAACTTGAAACTTAAACTTGAAACTTAAACTTGAAACTTAAACTTGAAACTTAAACTTGAAACTTAAACTTGAAACTTAAACTTGAAACTTAAACTTGAAACTTAAACTTGAAACTTAAACTTGAAACTTAAACTTGAAACTTAAACTTGAAACTTAAACTTGAAACTTAAACTTGAAACTTAAACTTGAAACTTAAACTTGAAACTTAAACTTGAAACTTAAACTTGAAACTTAAACTTGAAACTTAAACTTGAAACTTAAACTTGAAACTTAAACTTGAAACTTAAACTTGAAACTTAAACTTGAAACTTAAACTTGAACTTAAACTTGAAACTTAAACTTGAAACTTAAACTTGAAACTTAAACTTGAAACTTAAACTTGAAACTTAAACTTGAAACTTAAACTTGAAACTTAAACTTGAAACTTAAACTTGAAACTTAAACTTGAAACTTAAACTTGAAACTTAAACTTGAAACTTAAACTTGAAACTTAAACTTGAAACTTAACTTGAAACTTAAACTTGAAACTTAAACTTGAAACTTAAACTTGAAACTTAAACTTGAAACTTAAACTTGAAACTTGATACTTAAACTTGAAGCAACAAATAAAAATGAGTCTGGTGGACTATCAGTTCAGGAGACGAAATCAAGTTTCCCGTAACGTGATATAACGGTATTCGATAAGAAACATGGGCTCACCTTTGATTCTTGCAATTTATGTTCTGTAATATGCAGAACGATGGCTAGAATGAAGATAGTAAACAGAAGGATTGCTACCAGAAGCAATAGAACCTTCTCTAAAGGCGATCTAAGCTTCCATATCGAACTTCCAGCATGATATCGGATATGTGTGGCACTGGAACTGATCCCTGAAAAAATACAATGATTGAATTTCGCAGATAAATTTGTAATCTCATTTTCAAGATTCGTTTCCAAAAGAACAAGTTACAGGAAGATGAACAAGGTGGATGTTGCGCAATATGTGTTAACAGTACCTAAAGCCCTCCACTCACTATCCAACGCCGCATTCCGATTTTGTCGAATGCGATTGCTGTACGACTTTGTCGAAAATTGGATAAGGACACATATACAGGGTGACTTTGAAGTTGAGTCATTAATTTTCAGATAATGATTGTAGAAGGGAGATAAACCAAAATATGTGTGTAAAAATAAAAAAAAACTTTTACCTTGTTTTATAAAGTATCCTCCCGACAAGTATTTCAGTGCGGACCTGTATTTGATCGTGAGGTCCCCTGTGAGGTCTTAAGTCACCTGATTCACGAGCCCGTTGTACTACATTAACAAAGGCACGAGGGGTTGGTTGCACTCGATTGGGAAACCGATCGGCATAAACATGTGCCATTTTTTATTTCGTTTGAGCCACGCAACAGACACCACTATTCACTCACGCGTTACCGACTGACACTGACTCACTGACTGTATACAACTGAATAACATAATTGTAAAAACATCGTTCCAAATTCTTTCGCTTTTTTGTTTCCGATGCGATGAACCGATAAGGCGGATTATATCCGTTGTCGCCAAACACGAGCACATAATACTATTATTGAGACAGGGCGGTACTCAAACTTCCAAAGGACTATAACTTTGTTACTTTAATTTTACCAGAAAAATCGTAAAGGAAAAAACATTTCTTTTGATCAGATCTACTCACTGTTAAAATAAATGACTCAACTTCGAAGTCGAACGATCTTGCAGTATGAGTTTTGATTTGAAATATGGCCGATAAAAATCTAGTTTTAGCGGTTCTTGCATTTTGTGTTACTAAAAGTAAAAAGAAGAATGTGAAACGCAGATCCAACCAACAGTGTTGTACTGCTGCAGACTGACTTTTTTGTCTGCGGTCAAATCGTACCGACTTAATTGGATAATAAAAATGGATCGTGAGTGGCGGGCTTTAGATTGAAATCAGGACCACACTTCCTGCTTTTCGCATTTTGTGTAAACTAGATTTACACTGTGACGTTTCCAGGTAAACCAAAAAATTATAGTGATATGATATTAAAAAAATACTAAAGTATCTTAACATACCTTCGTTCAACTGAACACTGTTGACACTATCATCATCTGCAAAATCTGCGTTTGTGTACCTAGTCATCTGTGGAGAAAAAACACTATCAGATAATACCCTCCACATGTTACTACCTTTTACATCCGCTACTATAAAATGCTGAAATCGATCTAAGTAGGAAGTATGTATGTATGTACATACGTACGAACGCTTTGCTTCAAAAATAGATTTATTTATATTTTTTTGGATATCAAAGCATGCGCTACCGCAGTGTCTATACAGGGTGATACATAAAATAATGGCCATTGTTATTGAGCACAATTGACGTCTAAAAGTAGGATGGAATGGAAGAAGGCAATGAGTAGAAAAAGAAATGTAAGTTTACGATTTTTATCGCTAGGAAATTAAAAGCTATAATCTCTCTTATACAGGGTGTCCCGAAAAAAGTGTGCAATATTCTACCAGCGGTTTGTAGAGCTTAAAATAGGAAGAAAAGTTTATATAAACATAGATCGACAAACGTCCCCTAAGGGAGCTACGGTCTTTTAAACGGGCTCCCCTGAAGATGGTTTTTCCTTAATATTTCCGAAACGTGTTGAGATAAAGACATAAAATTTGGTATCCTAGCCTAGTTTTTTATGCTGGATTTAAAAATATTAACAATTTTAGACAGTTTTGTTTGGAAGCGTATGTAACAGGGACGGACTCAGGTTATTTTAGCCCCAAAATTTTTGTGTGATTCTATTTTTGAAATTCAACTTTAGAATTTGAAAATTTAGGGTTTTCTACATAAAAAAGGTACTCTTATTGAATATCGATAAATTGTGCCCTTTTTGAATAAAATCAAACTAAAAAATTTGTCACATGATAGGAAATGTACTGCGAATTTAAATGAATTGTTGATTATACATAGTTAGCCATGACTGCAAACAAAAGTTGTTTTGATTTGTTATGACTCATTTTGACGTTAAGCTGACATTGTTAGCAGTGTAAAATTAGTAGATTAAAATCAAAATTTTTATTAAATCGATTTAAAATGCCAAGATTTACAGACAGAGAACTGACTGACATGCATTTTGCAATGGCAGTTCATTGGCAGCCGTACGAGAATATCAAAGAAGATTTCCCAATCGAATAGTACCTGGACGTCGAATGTTTACTGATATTCACCGGAATTTGTCAAACCATGGTAGTTTTCAGCGCATGCAGGGCTCAGGAAGACCACTGGGAAATCATCGTATGGATATTGCTTTAAATATGTTTGAAAATAATCCGCAAATAAGCATACGAAATGTTTCAGAAAATATTGATATACCTGGATCAATAATAAGAAAAATTTATGAATACCTATTTGATAGTTATCCTAAAAATAATAATTTTAGATAGGAAGAATGACAAGAATGCAAGGATTACATCCTTATAATTTTAAACGGGTGCAGCATTTAACGGAGGCAGATTTTTTACCCCGGATCGAGTTTTGCCAGTGGATATTAGCAAATAAAAACACTATTCCTAGAATATTATGGTCGGATGAGTCAATATTTACTAGGAATGGTGCTTTTAATTTCCATAACATGCATCACTGGTCAGATGAAAATCCAAAAGTTGTTCGCCGTACAAATTTCCAACATAGATTTTCATTGAACTTATGGGCAGGAGTAATTGGGGATCAAGTAATTGGGCCTATTGTACTTCCCAATCGTCTTAATTCAGAGGTGTATCTGAACTTTCTTCAGAATGAGCTCATGGATATAATACCATTGGATGTGCGCCAGCAGTTTCAAGAAAATATGTTTTTTCAACATGATGGCGCCCCTGCACATTTTGGACACAATGTTCGAAATTGGTTGAATGTCAATTTTCCAGACAGGTGGTTAGGCCGAGGAGGTCCTATAGCGTGACCGCCACGTTCACCTGACCTAAATCCGCTGGATTTCTATTTTTGGGGGTCATTAAAAGACCTAGTTTACTCGACTGAAGTAAATACTCAAGAAGATTTACTTCAAAGAATCCATCAGGCTGCAAATGAAATAAGAAGAAAAAGGTTTTCCACTTTTCGGACTACGCAATCATTAGTTCGTCGAGCGAGACTTTGTATCCAATAAAATGGGAATTTATTTGAACACTTATTGTAAAGCTAGCTTTAAGTATATCCAACTGTATGTCTTCTTTTTTAAAAAAATTTCAATTTCATTCGTAGAAAAAATTTATTTCTTTTGTTTTTGCCTAAATGTTGGCTATGTTGCAATAGGAATATGTATTTATGTAATATTTACCAATTATTAAATTAGTTTTTTCGTTGCCATGGCTAATTATTCAACAATTCATTTAAATTCGCAGTACATTTCCTATCATATGACAAATTATTTAGTTTGATTTTATTCAAAAATGGCACAATTTATCGATATTCAATAAGAGCATTTTTTTATGTGGAAAACCCCAAATTTTCAAATTCTAAAATTGAATTTAAAAAATAGAATCACATAAAAATTTTGGGGCTAAAATAACCTGAGTCCGTCCCTGTTACATACGCTTCCAAACAAAACTGTCTAAAATTGTTAATATTTTTAAATCCAGCATAAAAAACTAGGCTAGAATACCAAATTTTATGTCTTTATCCATCTTCAGGCGAGCCCCTTTAAAAGACGGTAGCGCCCTTAGGGGACGTTAGTCGACCTATTTTAATATAAACTTTTCTTCCTAGCTCTAGAAACCGCTGGTAGAATATTGCACACTTTTTTCGGGACACCCTGTATATACATATATTCTGTATCCTTGCTCAAGAATAAGATCTAAATTAAAGATTAAAAAATTTTACCAGGGGTCCGATTTTGGCAACCTTGTTAAATAATAATTTTAAGCTACAATTTTAGAATGTGTAGATGATGCTTAATATTGCAAAGTAAACGTTGTACTCATTAAAAACATAGTTTTAGTTATTTTTAATATTGTTTGAATCAAAAACAAAAGGGGTGCGATTTGGGGCACTAATTTTGTCTAGTCTGCCACTTATCTATTTTTGTAGTAAAATCACGGAACTGAAGTTCTGTGAGATGTAAGATCTTTTACTTAAATGAGAGTAAATTTTTCAAAATGACACAAGGAGGTACTTTCTATACTCAAATAAAAGCTAGTTATCGGCAAAACCCGGACTTGCTTAAAAACGTCACTGACTGACTTCTGTGGCGGGCTGTTATCCGTGGCGTGAAAACTGGCACCTATGAAGATTATTTTTATCTGAATTGTGGTTATGTCATTCAAAGAAAATAGAAACACAAAAAGGACATAGATATTTCAAGTACAGTGAAAGCTCTCCTTGCGGACAGCTCCTATAAGCGGACATCTCTTTTAACCGGACAAAGTTCCTGGAACCAAATTTCAGCCATCAATTTTCAATGTTAAAAGCATTCCGATAAACGGACGCTCTTATAAACGGACGCGGACACTAGATTTTCCTGTATGTGATCAAAAAATCTCCCATAAGCGGATGCGAAACTCTAATACCCGGACGATTTTTTAGTTCCGCTTATTGCAATGCACATATCTACATACATAAAATTCGGTAATTCCCCGATTTATATCAGGTGATTCCCCATTTACGCATTTCGTTGGGTAGCCTGTATGTAATCTTGTGGCTTGTCTTCAGTTCAGGCAAATTCGTAGTTGATTGAGTTACGTATTTTATTATTGTAACTGTAAAATGGCACAAAAAAAAAGGATGCTCTCGTTAAAGGAAAAGATGTAAGTTGTTAACGTATTAGACAGAGAAAGTGTTTCAGTTCGTCATTTGGCAAAGAGGTTTAATATTGGGAAAATGCAAGCAGCTGAAATTGCCAAAAATAAGGAAGATATCAGGAGTAAATGGCAATCAGGAACTAATATAAATCAAAAGAAGGATTTTTTAAAAAAGGAAGGTTTTGCTATAGACAAAACATGTTTTGAGTGGTTTGTGAAAGCTAGAAGTCAGAACATTCCAATCTCAGGGCCTTTAGTGAAAATGAAAGCTAAAGAAATCGCCACTACTTTGGGCTATAATAATTTCAGTGCGTCCGACGGGTGGCTGCAAAAGTGGCCCAAGAGACATAGTGTGAGTTTCAAATGCATATCTGGTGAAGCTGCTGCAGTAGATCAAGTTGATGTGTCACAATTTTTGAAGAAACTTCCGTCCATGTTGCTTGGCTACAAACCAGAAGATGTGTACAACGCAGATGAGAGTGGACTTTTTTTTCACGCATTGCCCGACAAAACTCTGTCCTTTAAAGGAGAAACATGTGTGGGTGGAAAGTTGTTTAAAGATAGACTAACCATTTTATTCTGTGCAAATATGGCCGGTGAAAAATGCGATTTGATTGTGATCGGGAAAGCGGCTCGTCCCCGTGCTTTAAAAAACGTCGCTATTAAGGATCTACCAGCGACTTGGAAATCCAACAAAAAGGCATGGATGACCCGAGAAATCATGTCTGAGTGGTTAGTCGAATTCGACCGGAAAATGAGAATCCAAAAAAGGCAAGTTCTTTTATTTTTAGACAATGCATGCTCTCATCGTCGTGATATGAAAATGAAAAATGTGAAAATTATATTTTTACCGCCAAACACAACTTCTGTTTGTCAGCCCATGGATCAAGGTGTCATACAGAACTTTAAATTTTATTATCGGCACTTGATTTTAAAACATATTTTAACAAAAATTGACGATGGTCAAAGCTTATCTGAGCTTACAAAGTCTATCAATGTGTTAGAAGCTTTGTATTTTATAAAAACAGCATGGAATAAAGTAAATTCCTCTACAATTAAAAACTGTTTTGGCAAAGCTGGATTCAGAAAAAGTGAATGTAGCTCAGAATTTGCTGAGCAAAATTATTGCGATGCTGAAGACGATCTGCCCTTAGCGACACTTGCTCAGTTACTGCGACATGCCAAACATTTAGGAGTAGCAGATCCCCAGAAAGTAGATGATTTCCTGGCCATAGACAATAACATAACAACAGAAGAAAATGCCATTGGCAACTTTTCGAATTTGGATGTAGAAAGCCCAGGCCAACTTGAATATGGTAGTCCAAACGACTCAGAAGAAGAAGTGGAACTGGTGGACTCACTAAGCGGTTCAAAAACGACAAATTCATATGGGGAAGCTCTAAATCATATTTCTATATTGAAAAAATTTGCTAAAGATGATTTCACTGCATTTCAACATTTGAAAAATTTAGAAAGTTATTACGAAAATTGTCTCCTTCAGCAAAAGATGGTGAAATTTCGTCAGACAAACATTTTAAACTTTTTTCAACAAGCTAAAGAATAATGTTTTTTTTTAATTCTCGTACCATGTATTGAAGCATTTATGTTTTTGTATGCGTATATGTACATATATTATATAGTATAGCATAAATACATACTTTAAAAATGTGGCGAGTTTCTGTTTCATTTTCGCATGATTATAATACCTCATTTCCTCATGATTATATACCCCGTTATTTATACTCTATACTTACATACTCTCTTTTAAACGGACACCTCCCATAAGCGGACAAAAGTTACGGAACCGTGAGTGTCCGCTTATGGGAGCTTTCACTGTATTTTGTAACTGGTGGCGAGATGGTACTTAAAACGAAGTGTGAAATGGAAGTGTCGTAGAATCACACTGGTAACTTTCTCTGCACCCGTTTTAGCCATGTTTGTTGCTCTAACTGAAATTCGGTAGATTCAAGTACAAAATAGGTTGGAGGAAAAAATCAGGGCCATCACAAGATCAGCGGTGGATTGACGGCATTTGCGTCACTCAGCGTTGTCTATGAAAGTACTTTTTTACCCTTATTTTTAGTTTCCGCTTTTTCGGTAAACAATCTGGAAATATCTAATTATTTTATAAAATCGTGGAAGATGAGGACGTTTTCGGTGTTGAAGTAAGGTCTCATTTCGCTAGAACTACTGAAAAATCGGTAGGTTCGGCAACACGGACAGCGAAGCATAGCCTGGGAAACCGAGAGTGGGGGAACAATCGCGCGCATCGGTGTTGCCGGATTTCGTCACGCACCTTCCCGTATGTCTGGGAGCTCCTTGGAAACCATATTTCTGGATCAACCCTCGTATCTCTGAACGTCCTTTACTACCCTGGAAATATCATCACTGTTTCTTGAATCACCCTGTATACGAACATACACGCAAAATTTATCGCTGTGACGTCTCTACTTTAAACTGTAATTAAATATGAATAGGTATGTGATATTGCGTACGCTAGCGCATCAGCAAAAGATTTGCAAAGCTAGTTTCGTCATATAAAATAGGTGCTTATGCTTAAAAGCTGTATTTTATGGTAGTTGTCGAGATTTATCTTTCAGACTGTCATGTCCCCTAATGTTTTCCGAATTCAGTTGCAAAACCAGACGGACAGCATGTTACAGGCATTGACTTCACATACCCCACCCAGGTGGTCATACAGGTAAATCAGTTTAATCAAACAATTAACTTTTGATAAAAACGATGTTTCCAAACAAACATACGTATATAATCCAGCAAAGGATGAATGATAAAACATATTTTGCTAAATACGGACATTATGTTTAAGGATTTTCTTATTTTTATTTGACATTCAGATAAAATGTACGTTTTTTTAGGATTACACAAATTACACAAAATAGCTGTTTATTGTGAACTTTATTTAAATCGTCAGGTAGGTAAATTAAAATGTCTTGTTTTCTGTTTTTTCCACCGAAGCAGCGGCGCAGATGCCAGGGCACCGCTGCTGCTATGAAGAATTCAAACAAACTTTGTTAATCAGATTTTTGAACTGCCTAAGGTTAGTAGAACCGTAAAATGTATGGAAGAGACGGAAAAAGTACTGAAGCTGGTAAGCATCTCTCCAAGGAAAGGTTTAGAAAAACTCCCAGTCCGTAATGCCCAATTTTGCGGTGAGTTTCCACTGCCACAGCCGGTTCTGACCGAAACCTAACCTCCACAACACCGTGGTCCGAGTTGTCCAGGGAAGACAGGGCAGCAGTTCTATAAGGGACGGGATGCGTAAAAAAGATCCAGCAGACTACTGGCGTGTGACGAAACGCCGTGAATAAATAAGGCTTGTCACTAGCTAGGTCAGTACTTGGGTAATAGGGTACTCTTCAACAGTACGATCTGCTACATCAGCCTTGCTTGAGTCCAACCAGAGCGCATTTGAAACCACCGAGAACTACCTTTAAACCAGGGTGGTTGATGTACAGGAGGTCGATCTTTACCGCGAGATATTCAAGTAGGTCATCCCACTTATGGCTCGAGGGAGACCGATAAGGGCAGCAAATTTGGGGGATTTCTTAAAGTTGAGGCGAAGTCACAAAATACATTTCCGGCCTGATTCCAAAGGAATGTCTCTGGAGCAGGAAAGACTGCTGCAGAAAGAAGCTACTATTACCCCGTTCTTCGTCAGATTGGAGCGCACATCGTAATTTGGAAGTTAAGATGATTAGCAATAAATATTTTTTCAAACTTATAAGACACAAAACTGAATTTAGAAATCGACTTTGAGAAAATTTGGTTCTGCTACTTTTTGATATTTCTAATGCCTTTTATAATTAATTATATCTATATCCATGTGGAATACGAGGGCGGTTCAGTAAGTACCCGTGTTTGACGACAGAGGGCGTTCCTGAGAGAAGTTAATGTTATCTTCGCGTGCTGCCATCTATCAAACGACGGCACAACAAATTTCAGACTGATTGATAGGTTCGTTTAGATTTGGCAGGCCATTCGAGTAACACGTGTTTCGTGATTTTCGCTAAGATGGAAAAAGAGCAGTATCGTTCGGTAATTCGCTTTTTATTTTTGGATGGGAAAAAATGCGATGAGATAAAAGCAAAGTTAGATGCTGTTTATGGGGGCACTTCGCCATCTATGACCACAGTTAGATATTGGTTCAATGAATTTAAACGTGGGCAAACATCCGCTTTTGATGAGGATCGACCAGGACGCCCGGAAGACGACGTGGTTACCGGGGAAATCATTCAAGAAGTCCGCGACATGATTCTCGCTGATCGACGAATGAACGTGCGCGAAGTAGCAGAGGTCGTAGATGTGTCTATCGGAACGGCAATCAATATTTTACATGATAAGTTGGCTATGAAAAAATTGTCGGCCCGATGGGTGCCGCGATTGCTCACGGAGGACAACAAGCGGATGCGGCTCATAACTTCGAAGCAGTAGTTGGAGAAATTTAAGCGAAATCCGAAGGAGTTTTTGAGTCTAGTTGTCGCCGTCGATGAAACCTGGATTCATCATTACACACCAGAAACTAAGCAGCAACCAAAACAATGGATTTCTCCCGGAGAATCTGCTCCAAAGAAGGCGAAGACGGTCCCATCGGCCGGAAAGGTCATGGCGACAATTTTTTGGGATGCGAACGGCATCATCCTCGAGAATTTTTAGGAAAAGGAAGAACGATTACTGGACAATACTATTGTGAGTTATTAGACCACTTCGACACGCACCACCACGATAACGCACCAGCACATTCATCCGGAGTTGTCGCCGACAATCTGCATGAATTGCGTTATGAAGTGCTGCCCCGTATTCACCCGATCTGGCCCCCTGCGACTGTTTCTTGTTCTCTGACATAAAGAAAATTTAGCTCAAACGAGGAATTCATTGCCGACTCAGAGGCGTATTTTGGAGAGTTCGACATATCCTATTTTTGAGGGTTTAAAAAAATGTCAGGATCGTTGGGAAAAGTGTATCTTTCTAAAAAGGGATTATGTTGAAAAATAAAAACACTTTTTTTGGAAAAAATGATGTCTTCATTTCTAACACGGGTACTTATTGAACCGCCCTCGTATGTTGATAACTGAGGATTGAAGTTCATATTAGTGAGACAGTAGCAGAACAAAACACTGATCACGCTTCTATCTTTCAGCTCCTTTCTCCACCCAGAATGCAGTATAAGGTTGGATATCTTCAGGGAGAATAAGTTAATCAATGTAATGAAGACAATTCTGGATAAGTATGATTATAATCATGTTTTCATAGACAGTACTTAATGCCCGACTTGATGTTTACGAAAATCTTCTGATACTTATATACAAATCTTATTTTTTGCGCAGAGCTTTAACAGATTGAGTGAAATATGTTTATACATATACATGTTAGTATAAACATATCCAAACATTAAATATAAAAGATTTGTTTGTTTGAGGAATACTTAAATACGTGTAGGGTGATTTATGGAACCCAAAAACGTGTAGCTAGGACAGAAATTACAAATAACCTACTAGAAATATAAAAACTTGGTAGATGTTTCTCAAAACTGATATTGCAAGAGCATTCCATCAACTGCCATATTGACTTACGTGTCGTGGATTGTTCTATCGTATAAATATTTGTATAATAGCGATGCTGCTGTAACGTCCAATAAGTCCGTCTCAAATGGGTGCAGGTTTCATGGTTATTCACATCGGTTATCATCCTGAGGTATCAAAACATTGAGGATAGAAATACCGTGGGACAAACTACTTGAGATGGCACGCTGGGGCAGGCAGTCACGTAAACACATCTCAGGGTGTTCCTTAATGATATGCGAATATTTAAGGGTGTGAGTCTACATGAAAAGTTAATGTTAGTTTGCTTTATAAACTATGCTCCAAAAATGTTTCCTCACAAAAACTCGGGGTGTTGAAGTTTTAGGAACAAATGGAAATTAATTAATATTTTCAGAACCGCTTCAGATATTTCACTGATATTTAGTACGTAGTGAATTTATTGAAGTTGCATATTTTTCAATGCAAAAACAATTTTTAGCTTTAACACTGGCGTGCGTACGGGTATTGACCGATATTTCTTAAGAACAAATGGTACGCCAATGGTTGTTTGCCAAATTAAAATTATTTTTGAATTCCCCCTTCAATTTAAAACAAATGATCTCACTTAAATTGTTTTCCTTCAATGCGCCATTTTGGAGTGAAAAAATAAAAACCGTTCTATTGTCTAACTTGCAAAATTATCATTAATTTAATTGGAAAAATTAAACACATTAGGAGTAATGAACAACAACAACGTAATGCCTGTACTCTAAAATATGGTAACAATATAACAAAAAATCCACTAAAGTTCTCCAAACAATTTGATGGCAAATATTTAAGTGTCTAGCCATTTTCCTCGTACTTGTTTCGAGATGTTCTACGACTTCGTGCAGTACTGCTTCCTCAATTTCAGGTGTTCGCACACTTAGAGGTCTACCTTCAGATGTTCCTTTTCGGACAGAACCAGTTTCAACAAGACGACGATGAATATTAGAAAAGGTTCGACTATCTGACTAAGCACGATCGGGATACCGAATGCATTTCCGTCATTTCTGCATTTGAATAATTCAACATTAATAACAAGATTGTAAAAACTAAATAATGAAAAAGATGTCACAGCGAACAGATTCGAATAACAGAGACTTGTCAGATGTCAAAAGCCAGTGACATATTCCAGAGCAACTAGATATTTATTGCTAAATTGCATTCTTACATTAATTTTCTCGGACAATAGAACGGTTTTTATTTTTTTACTCAAAAATGGCGCATCGAAGAAAATCAATTCAAGAGAGATCATTTGTTTTAAATTGAACGGGGAATTCAAAAATAATTAATTTGGCAAAAAATCATTGGCATACCATTTTTTTTCTTAAAAGATATTGAAGTCAATACCCGTACGCACGCCACTGTTAAAGCTAAAAATTATTTTCGCATTGAAAAATATGCAACTTTATTAACTTTCACTACGTAATAAATATCAGTGAAATATCTGAAGCGGTTCTGAAAATATTGATTAATTTTAATTTTTTTTCCTAAAACTTCAACACGCCGAGTTTTTGTAAGGAAACATTTTTGGACCATTGTTTATAAAACAAACTAACATTAATTTTTCATGTAGATTCACACTCTTAAATATTCGCATATCATTAAGGAACATCCTGTATACACGTATCGCGTATTACGTCGAATAAAAGCATTAATTGGGGATAAGCGAGTATTTTTGAGTCAAAAACCAACAAAACCTACTCCCATTTACAAATATATGATTTATGTTCCACATATATCAAAGTTTCCTAAAATAATCTAGTTGTATATATTATTATTCTTAAAATATCGGTAATTGAATCGTGCATGGAATGTCTTACTTATGGAATGAGGGGCGTTGGTTGGCAATTTTATCGTTCGAAAACCAACATCAGGAAGTCATAATCACATATATGACGCGTTCCAATTTCTTGCAAATACTACCGTGATATACTGCAAATATTCAGGCCAAAACCAGTGACGTATTTTGTTTTCGTTAATAAATAAATACTTTTCAATCCATTCTTAAAATATCCAGATATCGAACAAATCTATAAGCACGGCGGATACATTCTATTAATGCGGATTCAGCTTTAAATTATAGGTGATTCTAAACCTGCGAAACAAAATCACATTTTATATACTAGAATCTCATATAATTACAAAAAATATTTTGAATTTTTATGTACGCTACGATTTTTAAGCATAAAAAAGTTAAGAAATTTTGATCTCTCTGAAATATTTGTTTAGCTTTGCCCAAAAATATTCAAGAACTCAAACATAAAAACCATATAATTTTTTTTACATTAGTTCCCACACTGGAGCATTTGTATCAAATGGGTTGAGCGGTTGATGGATTTACTGGATATTCTTACTGATAATTTTGGTCTGTACAGGTGGCCTCAAGCGGATCGATATCTTATCTAAAATTCGGGATTTATTTACTTTATTAACAGTTTGCTGTCGATATTTGAACGTAACCCATGAAAAACTAATTAGCGTTGACTGAACTTCCTTCGCAACGCCGTTATCAGTCCACAAAGCATTAAGTTCAGCACAAGCTGAGTTCTTTGAGAAAAAACATATACATGAAATTAAACTGATCAAGTCAAACAGATCCATACGATCTGTTCTTAGGCATTCTTTCCCTGCCATACCGGAAGTTACCATATCGTCAGATGCGACAGCGCCCACCGCGGCAGTATGAGTAGAACAGTCAATCAGACCGGTACGCCATACGGTGAGCCCAGATAGCAGAAAAAGACGCGCATCAAAAACATTTCCCTATCATTCTAAGTTATAATTGAATAACTGAAGCGTATATGAATACCCATTGCCAACATGTCACAAGAAAATTAAACTGGTTATCAATTTACTATCTGACTAATTTTACCATTCCTATTAGAGTATGTATTATAATTTCTGATTTAGTTATTTAAAAAAAAATGTTTGGATGTATTATTATTATTACTATTATCATTATTATTATTATTATCACTATTATTATTAATATTAAATGTACCGGGAAACCTTCAGCAACCAATTTTTAGCCCCAACAAAAGTTTTCTGAAAATGGATCAGGAGCCTCTGACAGGTCAAAAGGTGAAGTTTGAACGATTTCTATTTCTTTGTGTTTTTTTACCTCTGGCGCCGCCGCTACTGTACTGATGTCGTATAACTTCCAAAATTTTCGATATTTTCCACGATTACGAATACTTTCTCGCAGTGGCGTGGGAAGTAAAAAATAAAAAACTTAATAAGTTTTGTAGTTTCTTTTTATTAACCATTTCGTGACTTAGTATGATTTGCGTGATTGTGGTGCAAATAATGTCTAAAAATGTTTCTATGTAGCTGCTAAACCCACACGAGGTGCCACATATTTATTCTCATTGTTTAAAAAATGTAGGGGAAGTCCGGGAGATCTCGAGTTTTCCGCATAAGAGTACACAGATTCCTGATTAACATTGGTTACTAAAGCGTAGTTAGTTGAGTTTTATTGAGCATGAGATTTGGCTAATGTGTCCCGCACCCGCAGAGGTAGAATCGTTAACTAATGGTACAAATAAACGACATGAAACCCCGAAAAATAGCTCTACAACAAACTAATGGCATGCCAAGGCAACAAGTTATATTAGACATTTTGTTATACGTTAGCGTGATCTACATACTAAAGAACCCATAGTGTCTGTTTGACTTATTCAAATATTTACGCAACTTATCTCCTCCAACAGACTTATTTGCTTTTCGTCCGTGTTAGTCTTGATTCATAATAAATTAGTAAGGATGCGATAACGAGCGCGTTGTACAAATATTTTACGTCACGTGACGTCGAATATATCCGAATTAATTGAAATGACAATTTAGAACCGCCAGTAGCACCATGTGCGTCTTGATGCATTTATATTAATTGATTCTGACCGCATACATGTTTATTAATTTAAATGCAGGGTGACAGTTTTTATTTAGTAGTTACGAACCGCATGCTTTAAACTTGTATCATTACCCGACTGCCTCAGAGAAGGGGGTATGTTTTTCGCGCGTGGGTATGTAGGTATGTAACTAAAAAATTCTATTTCATATGGTACATAGCAAACGGCTCGATGGATTATGACATGAGGTGTCGTTGGAGCGAGAGCCACTGACTATATTAAAATTTTATAAAAACGAAATGGTGGATTTTAATAAAAAACGTTCAATCTTAAAATTACCATTTCACGGACTACATCTTACACAGCGTTTTGATTTGACATATGAGTAGTTGTTGGATCCATCTTAGCAGTGCGTGTGACAGTGGATTTTTCAATATTTTACAATACCAAAATAAATTCGACCTTGAAATTCCAATTTTCCAGGCTTTACCTTAAACCGCTTAATGAATTTGGAAGTACGATATGTTCTTGGATCTAAGCGAAACAACTTGATCTTGATATACAATGTGTCTCTAAAATCTTGACAGTCCGAGTGATGCTGGTTTTACCAATATTTCGTAAAATCAAAAAGGTGGATATTAAACTTCATACAATTCATAAAATTCCCCGCTCGTTTCATTACCGGAATCAAGAGTAGGGGTTTACATTCGACATTTTAAAGTTGTTCTTCAAATAACCGTCAAGGTCGCAATCAAGATCGAATCCAACGACAAAATTGTTAATAATTTTAAATCCAGCATAAAAAACTAGGCTAGAATACCAAATTTTATGTCCTTATCTCAACACGTTTCGGAAATTTTAAGGAAAAACCATCTTCAGGGGATCCCCCAACTACAAAACGAGTTCACAATGTGT